CTGGCCTTACTACTAGGAACAAGGACGCTACTAGGGGCTCCTGGCCTAACTTACTATAGGATTCCTTCATGCAAGCCAGCGCTTTGCAGGCTTGATGGACACAATGATGGATTCATGACCGAGGCCAGGAACGCACGTGCTCAACGCATGGCTGGATTCCTGGTTGGTTCACCTCCACACATCAACGAGACCCAACGTCTCCTGCACCTATCCGACCTATCTCCACACATGCTGTGCTCATGCCGCCTGTGCTTGTGCCCTGCCCAGCTGGTGTCGTTGACAGCGCTGGGCAGCGATCAATACTACCTCAAAGCAGTCGGGGCAGCTCCACAGGCAGAGTGCAACTTGAGTGATGCTATTTCTCATGCCCGAAGCTTTGCGAGCTTCATCACTTCTTGGGCGGTTCTTGGAAGATTGGTGCAGAACTTTGTTACTCATAGCTTGTTACTGGTAGCAATGCCAGGAGCTACTAGTAGCGTCCTTGCTCCTAGTAGCGATGCCCTTTGTTACTAGTAGCTTCTTGTTTGTCAGCATGTGGAAGAACTCGACACAGCAAAGGCGATGCCTTCTTCATGCTTTGACATCATTTCTTCAATTGCATGAACTTGGGTGGAGTTGTCCACTGGCCATTGATTTTGACCTCGCTCTTTTCTTGGGGAGGCACAGTCTGCTCATCCGGATGGCTTACTTCTTGGCCGTCACCTTAGCCTTCTCACACGGAACATTTTATGACGAGATTCGAGAAACCACTGTGCCTGCATGACACTACCATATTTCTATTGGTGTTAGACTTTTTAAACAACTTCACGTTCCGTTTTCTGGGACAACCAGGTGTCCGCTTCAGCGAACGCATGGAAGCAGGGCTTGAGGTGCGAGTGCTGCATGTGGCACCCCTGCAGGTGCGCTGGACCCACGTGCGCTGGACTCACGGGAAGCGGCATTCGTCGGTTCAATGGTACACGGTACTGGGAGGGAGAAGGAAGTTGGGTCTGGGAGGTTTCTTGTGGGGAAAACAGTTGGGTCCTTTTCTTTGGCGGAAATCTAAAGCTATCTTGGCAGAACATGCCAAACTTTGAAGAGATGCTCAATAAGACTTGTTCATTGAACTACCAACTCAAACTATTTGAAGGAGGGTTGTGTGACCATACTGTAGGGGAGGTTTGCTGGGTTTTATCGCTCCAGGTCGCGGTCAACGCGACCCGGCGAATCCTGGCGTTGCGGCCTGGATGGAGGCCGACACTATCTATGAACGAGACAAGATACTAGTAGTAAGGCCAGGAGCCCCGTTCGTAGCGTCCAACAACGGTGTTTTGCAAAAGAAAGACCTTGTGGAAGTGACACCTCTTGTCCGGCCAGGTCGGACTCGGAGTCTCGGGTTGGGTGCTTGGTGCTTTGTGGCATGGAGGACAACGGACTTGGACTGGTCTGCAAGCAGTGGTAGAGTAGTTCTTCAGCGTTCGATGACGGGATGTTTTTGGCGCTGCGTTTGCTCAGATGCTGGAATTGGCCCCGGGTGGCCGTGCAGCGCTGCATTGGCGCGGTGGCCAGGAGTGGGTTTAGATCACCATGAGTATCACCATGCCCGGTGGATACGGATCTCAAGTTAGACAGCTGGTTTGCATATTCCACGAAGTCATTTCACATGTTCTTGATTGTTGAATGAACAGGTTCTTTGTTGTAAAAAGAGCTTGGCATCTACCTTTGCCACCCAAACCTAAACCTACACAGGTACAATTTGCCAGGCAACGTATGTTCTTGGGTAGCTCTATCACTTGCCTGACAACACACGGAGGAGCTCCTGGTGCAGGCTCGCATCAGCGACCTCACAGGCTCTTGGTCACGCTGGTCTGGACGGCTGCCCGTAGGCAGGTCCAATTTTTGCGCTTGTAGTAACAAGTGCCTTACTAGTAGTAACAAGAAGCTACTAGTAACAAGTGCATCGCCACTAGTAACAAGTGCCTTACTAGTAGTAACGAGTCTCGATTGATTGTGCTTTACAAAGGCTGAGACGCCTGACAGAGTGAAACCTCACATCGCCGCGACAGAACAAGACGCAAGTGTGAGGCCTCCAACCTAATAGCGATGGCCTCCAACCTACTAGCACACCTCAATGTTCTTTTGATATAGTGACCAGCATCGACTGTATTGGTCAGGCAGTGTGGGCGAATATTCCTTCCAAAGCTGTTGGGAGAAGATGAGCGAAGTGGTCTTCGAGAACTTCCGGGTCGAGGCGCTTGGCGGTCAGCAGAATTGATTCATGGCCCTTGAAAGCATCTTGTCTTATCTTAGAGTGAGGCATCTAGTTTCTCCGGATTAGAAGATTTCAAAACACAAACGCCGGCAAGAGCAATTCAGCTTCAGTTCCAGGATTGGCAGAGTTTGAGTCGTTCAAGTTGCGAGGTGCGAAATGTGGAGGCGACGACCTATTTTGTCTTCCGGGAGGCCCGAACTTGAGAGGAGATTTGGATCGACCTCTAAGAAAAGGATCCTTGAATTATGAGTTTCTTTCCAAATCTGCATTAAGTTTTCCAAAAGATCTAGGAGCCAAATCAATCAATCATGCGAACACGAATGCTTCTGCATCCCGGTCCAGAGTAGCTATTCAAACTACTTCAAGCTACTTCAAGCTGCTAGCTGCCTGTAGTCCACCCTCCCACACAAAAGGGACAAGGAGGCAAGAAACGAAAGAAACGGGAGTCTGCAGCAGACTTTTGCGTCCGGAGTTGGCTGAAATCCCTGAGGCAGGAAAGAGTGCACCGATCCTCTTGAGGAATTTCAGTGTAGAGCCTTGGCTGAAATTTCTTCGGCGGACAAAATGGGCAGACTCGGTGGAATTGACGGAATTCGCTCACAGGAACCTCTTCTATTCCAGCAGGAGCTCCCACATGACCGGTTCGGCGAGGACTGCGGAGATTGCATCCTTTTTCTTTTGCACGCTGGCGACTCATGGGCGGTTGGAGGACTCTGAAGATGGCGACAAGCGACAGCATCTTTGCTGCAAACCAAAGCGCATGACCACCAGGACTTGAGGCAGACTAACATTACATAATAGTTTGAAGATCGGCATTTTTCCCAGACAAAATGGTCCATGTGCAACAATAGTTGAATAGTTGTTGATAGTCGCATGCCTTGCAGTTGGCCGAGGCGGTGGTTCAGAGCAAGTAGCTTCACCAGCAGCAGTCTGAACCTGAGCGTTCTAGGTTTCCCAGATTTTGTCCAGCAAGTAGCGTTCAAGAGCCTCAGAAGTCCTGGTCGGGTCCTTTTGGAGAAGTGTTTCTGAGTTCAGCCGACGAGACCATGGTTGCTCTCAGAAGTATCACACTGTCGCCACATCATTTATCTTCCAATGTGGCTTTGAGCATATTGGTGATGTGGCTGTGGGTCAACACCGGCACACTCTGGGTTGACCAAGCATAAACAGAATGGACGATGAAGGAGGTCAACCTAGTCAACCTACCTCGGTGAAAGGGGATCCGGGTTTTGATCCGGCCATGTGACTTTTCACGACTTGATGAGCCCCTAGTAGCGATGCACTTGCTCCTAGTAGCGATGCCAGGAGCCCCTAGTAGCGTTCTTGTTACTGCTAGTAAGGCACTTGTTACTAGAAGCGATGCCCTTTGTTCCTAGTAGCGTTCTTGTTACTACTAGTAAGG